CAGTGCACATACGAACAAGTGCCTGGTTATCCACTAAGACCGTGATATCCGCGGTTTCATCCGTGGTACTGCTGCACAGAACGGCATTGTACGGTTCCACAACGGCACCACACATTTCCTGGCCCGGATAGACGGTCAGTTCAATTTTCGGACATTTAGCATATTCTGAGTCAATCGCTTCCATGAGTTCTATGCATGGGAGAGGGGTGGAGGAAGGAGTCTGCTTAGAGCGAAATTTTGCCAGTAGAATACAGCATGAAGGTTGCGGAGTGAGGTTATAATCGTCACTGTCTTGCACACGTAACTTAATGTGAAATCTGAAATTTCCAAATTGAAAAAATTTGTAGATAAATCTGTCTGAGCTTAGTAGCTTTATATAGCTCTCACAACAGTGAATTTTCTTCAGGAAAAATAAATGGGAACCTGAAAAATCTTCGCTCGTGCCTCGTTGCGATAACTGATAAATATGGGGCAAATCTCGATATCAAAACTTCATCCAGGAGAAAAATGGTTCAGTCAATGTGCAGGAATAGATTGCGTAGGAATGGCCGACTAAATGTACATGCAACACAGATAACAAAAACACGTGTTTTGAAGGATTTATCGGTTGGTTAATTATGCCACGCTTTACACACTCAAATCTGTCCATTGTCTCGTCATTCTCTCAAGAAGCAGTAGTTTTAAAACGTTTACAGGACTCGAATCTGTTACATCCAATTATGTACGTAATACATTTTGAAATTTTGAAAATTACTTGTCTTGGCATGATACGCCAGCGAAATTACCCACAGATGTGATTGATGTTAACATGTAATAACGGAAATCAGTGAGAGCAGAGAACGTGTACGGCCAGTTAAATCTTTGCCAGGAATGCTTTTACATAATTAAGAATGCTAGGAAGTGGCCGGTTCCACAACTGAGTGCAAAGTAATGCACTATCTAAGTTCAGTTCAGATTTTAAAACCGTTGACCATGCTTATTCGTGCGTTGATTTTGGTTATTTGCTCATAATGTTTTAAAAATGTAAACCAGGTTACATCATTGAAGAAATTGAACGGAAATTGTTATATGAGTCGGGTGTGCAATCATCATTTGATCAAGTGAAGAGGCAAAGAACATGGTTTAAGGTTGAAAATGGGCGTTGTTGGCCCGGTGACGTTATCAAATTATCACCCCGGAGAAGCATGTGTAATCGAATCCGAAAGTCAGGTGGTGGCTTCCCCAATTGTGCGTTGTATGACAGCCCTTTGATTGGCCGCTTCCCTCTTCCTCAAAATTGTATCATTATGTAGTCAATGAAAGAAATTAAAAATAAAAAGAGAGATGAAAAAGTAGTTGAAAAATCCTACTTAATTTACTGAAAATAAAATGTTTAGAGCAAGATAGACGTTACTTCAAGAGAACATTGAGATACCACACGGATGTCTGACAGGTTGAAGGTTTATCAGCAATGAATATTCCAAAACGGGCACCAGTCAACGATCTTGTATCAAATCTGTGTCAAATCAGGAGAAATTTATGCGTCTAGAATGGTTTATAGACCGATTTAACTTTGTAAACCATATCGGAAATTTCCAAATCTCCTCGATTTTGGAAAAGAATAGAGTTTTTATAATAGAAGGCTCCTTGGGTGACATCATCACTGTATTTTTATATATAATAAATATGAAAAATCCTGGTTAACAAGATAATAAAAAAGATTCATAAAATAAAAAGATTGATAGTATAGCGCCTTGTAGAAGAGAACCAAAAGGAGAGGTTCATAGTGCAGAGATTTCAGCATGAAAAGGAATAAGTTATTGGCTGTGTTTGAGACAATGTTCGCGGGTGGATGATTTAGGGAGAAGTACCTACCACCCTAAGATTTTCCATATATTCCTACCACTTGAGAGCACCATGGAGCAGAAAGTTTACCCTAAAAACGAGATAATTATTGATTGTTTGCAAAATAGTCTGTTAGCAGATGGGTGATGTGAGAAGCAATAGCTACAGAAACAGAAAAAATTATCGCTCTTAACACCACGAAGATTAAAGAAACAAATCTAACAGTCTAGCAGGTTCCCATCTAAATGACATAAGTGAGACTGTGAGGCATGGGTGTCAAATGTTGACCGCAGTACTGGTGCTCAAACTGGATGGCACCAGGAGATGTGATACCGAACAGATTATGTAAATAAAGAGTTTCAAGGAATTTCAAGTCAGATACACACTAAGAGGTAGGCTTGGGATATAATTTTAATGGAACCTGGCCTGATATTGACAGTTTGGAAACAATTGGGAGTCATTTTTCAGCTAAACTTTCAAAAGGATCCAAGAAAACGAGATTCAGTGTTATTGCACATTCCCTCAAAATTGCCGGTTGTAGATCATAAGTTATACCTGCTTTGTAGGGTTCTTAAAGTTACATTAATGTTGGGTTGTACGAAAAGAATAATGGGTTGAAAGAAGTGTTTGTAAGCAGGCGTTCGTCAATTTTATTAGAACTTCTATTGCTATTGACCTATTCAGTGAGAAGTATGATAAAATAGGCGGATCCTTTCATTTCCAGACTGCAATCTTACAATCAGAACAGCTCCTGGTGAATGACAAGGTCTAGACATACACCGCAATGGTGAATTGTAGAGTTCTGACTTAGGGGGGTTCGGTTTCTCTATCCCTTTGATTTATTTTGCCATGCACTTATTTGAGAAAACTACAGAAAATGCAGTCTGAAAGTTCATTGAGGGCTTTGCATGGGTGAATTACGTTATAGAATAACTGAGATGATCATTAAGACGAGACCAGGAAGTCGATGAATGAAAATAGAAAATTCTGTTTACACGACTATCGCTGATGAACAGGTCCACAATGTTTACCAAACCCAATAATGCTTGGAAATTTCTCTCAAAATGTCTTAAGTTTACACAAATCAATTAAGGGAAAGCGTCGAAACTTTGTACCAGAGTGATGAAGAATGAGCTGCAGGGGTGTGAAAACATCATCAGATGAGCCTGACAGTACAACATACAGAACATGTCAAGCATGATGAAACGGTATTGGCTCAGGACTTTGGTTTATTAGAGGACAGAGCAGCAGGTGTGCGAGCATTTGACAATGCATTGAAAAGCAAGAACTAGGACCCGGTGATTTACGAAGGCACTGGTGACGCACGATTCCGTTACTGAGCCGGATGATTGACCCAATGGGGCAACAAGTCTCAGGTTCAGACAAGTAAGGATCGAGCTCGTGCAACACTGAACTTCATCAGATTTGTTCCTCCCAACACCTGATGTTTTGAGCCTCGTTCACGGGTTCAACGTGATTTTACCCCTCATTAGATGCAACATATTTGTAGGGATATCCATATATGTTTTTGCTTTTATTACTCGAATACCATTACACTGTGCGATTTATTGATTTCGACAACGGTTGCTGGTGCATCAGTTGTAAAATAACAGTAAAACGTCGTTAGAATTTATGGATGAAATCGGCTAATAGGTCCCTATTAGTCGTAATGCACTTTCTCTTTTTCAATGTTTCATTTGTCTTTTTTTAATTTGAAGCACTAGAGACAGTCGTTTTCTTCATGACTTCTACCACGTTGACTTTTAAACAGCTTTTCCCTGGTTTCCTTCATACGTACCACACCTTGGCTACTAAAAACTGTTGTAGAGCTAGCTAACTTGTCCCTGTCTCGGACTGCTTCGAGATTTATCGTAACACTCAATGTCGCGCAAATTTAAACGATGATACATGTAACGGCATTGAAACCAAAATGGTCGGAGATGTGCACAGTACTAATGATTGCCTAACCTTTCCAATACCTTTCCGCGGCACAATGGTCGAATACGGTGAACATTAATAAGGAACAAACAGAAGTTTCAGGAAATACATGAGAACCGTTAATCGATAAGAACCTTGTGTGCCGCCCTTCCAAGAGACAGCTTTTACATTGCTTTTTACCATTCATTCCGTGCTACAATATACGTTCGTGCGCGACAGTCGTGTTCTCCCTTTGTGAGCGTGTCTGACAGTGATAGATACGCTCAAGTGTCGGTGTTAACGAATGTCTACTACTATCATTTCAGAGCGTTCCCGCGGGTCTTCATGCGTGGTGCGTAATTTCTGTACTTACATCACATACACAAGAGAACTAAGAATATTGCAGTGGGAGATAAAGCTCAGAGAAGATGCTCTTCACCCATAATTATCGATACACACGTATGATATTGGAAACAGAAATGTATTTCCGCGATGAGAGTCATGCCGCGCGAGTTTGATCGATCAGCGTTTAGCGTTTAGCTCAGTTGCCCGAAGAAACGTGCTACCTGTTTGTGTGGATTCATTTATTCTTTATTCAATCAGAACCATCGGACAAATTCAAACAACATTTATGGTGGGCACATATCTGATTAATTTTCTGCGAAGCACCACTCTCCATCCGCTTCAATATCTCCACCGGTATCCAGAGCGTACAAAAATAATTCGTTCGCATTTGGTGCAGAAGCTTCTTTCAAATGTACCTAATTTCCCTGACGGAAAGTTGCTTCAGAATAGTTCTGGTTGTTTTTAAGGATATTTTCTAGCCTACATAATTTTGATTGCGCAATGAATGGTGATATGGTAGCGCTCCGAGGCAAATCATGAGGTGAATTGTCAATCTAATCTTTAAGTGTATGAATAAAGCTGCTGAATTCAAAAGTATTTCCGTGTTGAATGGCAGATGTTTGACCATGTCCATGATTGAATCATATTCCAATCGATAAAACTGAAAACTCGTCGTATATAATGCCTATAATTTATATTATCAGTTATGCCTGGAGGTAATCCATGCACCAAACATACAGAATCCCCTCATGTTTATCCATTTTTGCCATAATCAAAGAGGATACTTTGTGTACAGAGACTGTAAACACATCGACAGCCAAGTGCAAAATTATTCTATCTGGAGTTGTGAAACTTACTACAAGTTGTGCCCGATCCCGTGCCACCGCCGAATGAATGATAAATGCAGATCGCTTGCAAGTTATCGGATTTTTCCACCTCTTTGCGCACACTGTTCATTGTTTTCGGCATCATCTTGGTCGCGCAGCTGTAGAATCCGCGAGCAAAATTGCTGGCCGCATCCTCCAGTCCTGTGATCAAATTCTCCGTGTTGAACAAGCCTCGATAAACACCTGATCGTATCTCATCTAATGGATAAGAGATTTGGATAGAATGTGCCAGATTAATTCCAGCTTGGCATCAGGCAGCCTTGCAGTTTCCAAAGTCAGTGCATTATTCCAACGAATTATTGAATGTTGTACAGAACCGCTTAGATGCTCTATCTTTTGTTGAGGTTTCACGCAAGCCTATGTGGAATATTGAAGAATCACATACTCTAATCCAGTGATACAATGAGTTGATTTATCAAAGTAAGGTCCGTAATGGGAAGTCAGTTTGACTGGATACTAAAGATTTCCTTAAGCCATTGTGCAGGACTATTTGATCTGATCCAACCCCATTGATGAAGGCATGGTTGTCTTCGGCACTCGAGTACATCTCCAGTAAAAATAAAAGAGAACATGCATTTACAAGTAATAGCGGGGAGGAAACTTCGATAACCAGGGCAGAGCAAAATTGTAAAGAGATTCTCGTTTTCAGTGATCACCTCACTTCCTGTGACTCTGACCGCTTGCAGATATTGTAATTAGTGTAGTTGTGCAGGCAGATCAGAAAAAATACCAACACCTTCGAACAGACCCATATAAACTGGCAAACTGAGGACCGGCGCTTCCCGGAAATTGCGCTGAAGATGTTGCCTAGCCAGACTACAAAACGTCTGCGAATAAGGCTTTCAGTTCGGAAATCAGACCAACATCAGCATCCACATTCCAAGCTACAATCATTTCACATTATATCCTGCTTTGTAATTGAAATTCATGGAAATGGCAGACATTCGAACATAACATCGTGACGGTACCCGGTACCTGATGACAAAGACATGCTTAATACTCCAATTTTGACAGTTTCTCTAGATAGACGGAAATGTAAATCTCTTATGGTCAGAAAAGTTGAGACCAAATATATGACAAGTATTTATTTTCTTTATTATCTGATTATTGCTGGCAGTTCTTTTGTGAGATGATCAATGAGGTCTATCAGCACGGGGGTTCAACCAGCATCCAGCACTATAAACACACAAAGGTACAACTTGTAGCGAGACGAATAGATAACACGATAATTCCTGCACGAGAGCCTACCTGTCATCGGACGCTTGATGTTGCGGTAAGTAAATTTGTTAAGGATTTGTAAAGCTTACTTCGAAAATGATCCCCAGATGAAAACACCGGCTGCAAAGTTACCAATGCACTGCTACGAGCCGGATAAAATAACTATGAATACTCATTCCTTAGGTGACTCAAAGCTAGTTCTTTAAGACTGTGACCGATAATTGTAAGGGAAAATAATCCATAAAATTCCCTCTACAATTTTATTTTTGGACGACATAACAGAATTGTAATAAACTAAGATAGTTTAACTTAATAAAGGTAGATATATCACTGGCTTAAGAAAAAGCACCGCGTCAACGCAACAGCAGGTAAGGCGGAAACGGAAGAGGTTGGACTATAAACCAATGGGATGGGGGTCTAGCAGTTATAGCAAATAAACTGAAGGGGTTTACCCGCCTTTTTCATATTCATCCATCCGCCCAACACGTTGAGATATATGCGGATTGTGAAATGACTGCCAAGGTAGAAACCAAAATCCATCGAATCCTATCTAACTCACAATACGTTCATGCATTTTGTATCAAAGAAACAAGAAATAGATATGAGCTCATGTTCAAACGTTCAGTTTATTCAACCGGGCTAAGCGGATTCTATCTTCACATGAAAAAGATCCATTATTGCCTCTGGTCACTACTTTCTACTACCAAGTTGTTCATCTTATTTTTATTTTTATCTTTTACTTTCTTTTATTGACTATAAAAAGATAAAATTTTCAGGAAGAGGGAAGCGGCCAATCAAAAGGCTGCTATTCAACACATAATGTGGAAAGTGAGGCGGTGGTGGTGGGATTCGAACACATCCCCGGGGTGATCATTTGGTGACGATACCACCGGGCCACCACCGCCCCAATGCACAAACCAGCAGCAGGACTCCTGGGCCCGCGACATTCCGACACCAAGCCTCCAAGTAGCTGGATTTTAGGTGCGCGCCACTAAGCCAGACTATGAAGGGATGGTCTGAATACCTCCCCATTGGCAAAAACTAAGAGCCCGAGCGAGCCCTATTAGAGATCGTCGTAGGCTCCAACTAGCCAGAGTGCAAGAGCCGTGCTCCACCTGGGGCCAAGGCGTCCGTGATCGCCCTGGTACCAGCGCCAGGTAATTTCTTCAGGACACTAAGACCAGGCACAGCTTGACTGCTGTAAGAAAAGCGAACTCGCTGTGTATCCAAGCCTAGAATGTCTCTGACACATATGATCGCATTCAATTTACCGTTCAAAACCAGACAGTCACTTCAAAGGTTTACAACGCAGCGATCACAATGGATAAGAATCGGCAGGAAACACTGGAGATTCGACTCGTAATTGAGTGTCACACTGATACCACAAGCATATCAGAACGACCAAAGTTGGGTGGCTTTTTCGGTTCTCTAAGACCAAATACAGAACCATGTGGCTACTTTAATGACGACGGATTATCGGTACTTCTGCCAACTTCTCAGGTAACTTTGGATTAAAAAAAACAAATTAAATCACTCAGTTCTAAATTGGAAGAGAGTTTCATCAGCACAAGTCATTTCACGCTATGCGTGGTCTTTCCGGTCAGGCAAATATCTACTCACCAACCACACTGGGTTCTGTGTCCATGATGATTGTACGCGGCACAAAACGGTTTCTATCAGTCTCCTTGAAGAACGATACAACGGGCCTCGGGGCGAGTGGATCCTCGGGGTCGGCATCGGGTTCAATCATTGTTCCATCTGGACGAATACCATGTTCCAGACAAAACAATTCCCAACAAGCAAATGACATTTGTGTACCACATTGTCCGATGAAACAGTTGATAATTTCGCCGTCCTATTCGAAATATAAGAAATATCCAGGTGGAACGATCGAACTATTAGGAAGTGTTCAATATAGTCTTCGTGCCCCTGATCAAACGTGATCTTCATAAACGTTTTCACAAAAATTATGTTCGAGCCTCCATATTCTGTGCGTTTAGTTACACACCCATATTTGGATTTTTATAATAAACCTCTTTCAGGACTATATTCTATTCCAGTCAGATAGATCGTCAAAACGAGAAAGAATAACATTCAAAAACACTCTTTCATTATCAATATGAATAATGATTAGAAAAACAAGTTAACTGTAAGATTCGGCGAGATTTTCTGTTTTCACTTGTTGTGCGCATGTCCGTACATGGAAAACAGTACCGGGGAGTCTTGTACTACTCCCTTCCAGCAAACTCTTGTGACCTACAAGTGACTGATACGTCTTCGCGCTTTCCTGTTGCCGGATTGATTGATTGGTTGGCTGGTTGACTGATTGATTTACGGTTGCTGTGATCTATCCCACAGGCACGTACTCATGCCATGCGAACTGATTGTACTACAGTATCGATCAGTTCCACTCAGCTACGTGTTAGTATTGCACTGCCCTCGCTCATTGATTTGTTGGCTGTTTTGAATACCCGCTTGATAGCATACGGATGTTGCGTAACGCTTGAGCCAGTTGTCGGCCTACCTGCTTGCCTTCCTGAGTGGTGCCCGTTCCTGCTTGCTCACCGGTCTATGGATAGGCTACATGTGTGCCATCTACAATACATGTGCTACCTAATTCACTGCGTGCTTATCTATCTATTTATCCGACATATCTCCTATCTCTGAGCGGGTGGGTGAACGGGATCAACGGTGATAGGTCATTGTTCGACGGATGTTTGGAGTCCTGGATCTGGTTTATGGGTGAAAGAAAAACCGGAATTGATATATTGGATACCAAGTCCAACAAAATTGAATGTTAACGACGAAGGATAAAAATCCGTTGATATAGTCCAATCTGTGGTGTACAGCTTTGAAGTTTAATTTTAGAAGACCACGAAAAAACACTGGGGATTATTACAGTATGACAAGAGGGGCATATTGAAAGACGCATTTAAAAAGGACGGTCGCGTAGTTCAAAAGTATCTCCAAGGGGAAGGTAAGGCAGCACGAAGTTTCAACACAGTATCGAACGTGGGGTGCTTCGCTAAGATTATTGTGTAGACTAACAATGGGATAGCTGAAAAAACTATTCTTTCAGAAGGGAGAAATGCACTGTTTTTAAATTAAAAGTAATGGTTTATCAGAATGAATACCTACAGAGTAGTAAACGGTACAGGCTTGGATAACTTATAGCAAAAGCCTGAAAACGATATCATCTAAAGTAGTGTAATCAACGGGGATAGTTTATCATTCTGCCACTCCATTGACGACCAAAGTTTCTATTGAGTATAGCTATATACATTCCTTCTTTTCTAGAGATTATTCAAATTATTAGGATGAATTGATGATCACTTCAAACTGCAACATGCCATTGTACAGACTGAGCGGAATGATGCAGGATACATGCTGCACAGTTTTCTACTCACTTCTCGACTGAACAGTGTCCTGTATCGAATGGTTTGTGATTATATCGCTGGACTATATTTGAGAAAATTTCAGGATCGTCTGATTAATCAGTCACTGGGGGCAAAAATACCTACAATTATCTGTCGACAACAATCACCCAAATAGCATTGGAATACTGGGATTAAATATGGTTTACAGTTTTTTCCTCTACAGCTCACAATGTGTTTTCGGGTGGGCCACATGTAATTTCTACTGCTCATTGCACCAAAAAGGTATCAAGAAACGAATTTGTGGAAGAGAATATCAAATGACAAAGAATTTAACGAACAGGCTTGTTGTCGTAACTTAGCTCCAAGTTTCCAGTGTAGGAAGAACTTAGATTCAGCAAATCTACACTCCTGAATAATAGATACCCGGAGCGTTTCAGCGAGAAAAATCTCATGGAAAAGCCGACACTACCAAAACCAATTTGGCGTCTTTCGTTCAAAAGCGATACGGATGATGATGTACTATGAAGATGTCTGGAAAAAGCGTAACAGGAACCTATCCAGCCGCAGTTTTTCACAAACCTCAAAGATAGGCTGCCCATCCTCTCCTCAAATATGATTACACATTCCTTTACTTGCACATGTTCGGCAAGTTATGTAGGACGAACGATGAGGCAGTTCTCTCAAAGGAATCAGAGAACATAAACCGGAATGCAAGAAAACAATAGCCAGTGCGACTATGACCACCTCGCTGATACGAGGTACCAGCCAGACGATGACGCATTCAAAGTCATTTTCGAAGTGCCCTAAAACAAATCGAAGTACGTTTGTAAACGTCGCTTTGCAACGGCAGAAACTATAGCAACCACAAGCATGAACCCACTACTGCGCAAACAGAAGAAAATGGTTGCCCCACTCCAATTACCTTGGCCTCAACCAACCTATGTGATGATCCGAATCACGACCTCCATCACGTCGTGACGACGCAACATGGTGTGACAAACTGCACGTGAAAAAGGTCATCGGAAACTTCCGGAATTGACCGGGGTCCCCTTCACCCAATGTTCCCATTTTCTCCACTCGCTTTGATTAAACTTGACAGACATTGTTGTATTGTCACACTTAACCTCCACGGATCGGTGACATTTATTTCTACATTATATATAAACATACACACATAAATGTAAATGCATGAAGAAAAAATTACGAAAACGAATTTGTTTCTGAATGAAAGAAGGGTCCTGTGCGATATAAAAGGGAGAAGTAAAAGCGGGAAGTTCGGAGAGATGTTCCCGAAGGACGTTTTGTGTTGCACACACATTGAAGCCGACTTTTTCTTTTGCGCCAAAAATAATTTGTAAACCACTGCTCCATGGTTAAGTGTACACTGACACAACGTCTCATTTTCCTCTTTCGATTTAATTTCTCGTCTGCATTGACTATACCTTTAGGAACAACATGTAGCTGACGGAAATAAGTGAACTCACCTAGACCTGGTTTCTACTATTGTTCCCAATAGAAGACCCGAAACAAAGATGATTACACAACGAATTTTGTGACTAAACAATAGATGAAAATGCGTTGTGTTTGTTGATATTTGGGTGAAGTGTGGTATTTGTCAATCACATCAATGAAAATCACCATAGACACCAACGTAAAGTGAACATTTCGCGGAACTGCGAAGACAATTGGGGCGTTCATTCAATCAGCCGGTCAGGGTCCATATACTAATCGTCTTTGGTTACTCATGAAATGTTCGTGTAACATATCGTCCAGAAGCCCGATAAATTTCCAATGCCTACCCATATTTTATTCCACGAAGGTGAATGTGTTTTCAGAACAGCCGGGATTGACCCGGCTGAACAAACTTTCTATTAGTCCCGTTGACTTGATTGGGGCTGATGACGTAATAGCCATCAGTTAAACGTTGCAGACATTCCCATCAGACATCGTGGAATTCAGCCATGAATGACTCCAAGAATTCCAATTCCTCCGGCCCCATTGCTTTGACGCTCGCCGTCCTCCAGCTCTGCTTACTGCAGCGGAATTTGAGCTAAATTGAGGTAATACTGTGTTCACACAATTCGGTGAATCGAACTGAAGTCCGCGTGGATGCGTGTTTGTTGTTGATTGACAATATATTGATAAAGAGAAAATTTTGAAAACTGGGTCAAATACATTCAATCAAATGTTCCTAAATATTGTGTGCTGACCAAATAAAATCCTTTTTATAAAATATTAAAACTATGGGTAAAACAGACTAATGCTGAAATTTACCGAGTGCAATGGGAAAATTTAGGAAAGCTTCCATAATATTATTGTTATATTTTTTTAATTAATTACCTCAATGACTGCCATAAATTTTATCCATTTATGAATGGTTAGAATTTATTGAAAAGAACCAAGGGATCTAATCAAACATTTAATTCAATCAATGAACAGGTGGTAATAGCTAATTACTATCTTTTTTCAATTTACGTAACGACAAGAGTCTAAGTTAGAAATATTGGGTGCACAATTTACAGATTAATGTGCCAATCTCACTAATCTTAAGTTAAATAACCAACTTAGATTTTCCTTTCGGGATTGCGTGCTAAATACACGATATACGGATGATATTTTGTGCTTGATCAATATGGAATCGGAAACCAATGAGCTGTTGAGCGAGTTCAGTGCTACTAACTACTCAGACTTCTCGGACTACTTAGACGTGTCTTCGGGCAGTTCGAAAGAGCACTGTTCCCACGCTTGTTATCAGCGTTCGTTCGGCCACACATAGAGTGCACCGTTCAACTATGGAATCCATGGTTAAACCACGACAAGAAGGCTCTAGAACGTCCGCAAAGGCTGGCAACAAAATTGGTAAAAGGTCTGTATAACAAGACATACTCCGAAAGACTGCAAATATTGGGACTCCACTCATCCCAATATCGCCGAATTCGAGGGGGCCTAATATTGGCATATCACATACTGCATCAACCCAACCACCCTTGCCGTTCTCCGCTAATTTTATCTCATAGTGATCACCTCAGGGGGCATCCACTAAAGGTGACAACCCAGAACAGCCACCTTGATTGCCGGCATCACTCGTTTGCAGTCAGAGTGTGCGGCGTAGAATTCTTCTTCCATCTGATGTAGTGTGTGCTCCTACAGTTGAAACTTAATAAAGCATTGGAACACTTAAAATTTCAACAGCCTTCAGTGATCGTGCACATTATTATCACAGTTATCTTTTCTTTATGAAGTTATTCAAAAGATTCTGTAAAAATCCTATGGGCATGACAAGTTTTAGCTTTTTTAAATCGCCCATAATAAACCTTTGACTTTGAGTTTGACTTTAACCAGAACATAAGATTTACTTTAGAAATGGAAAACGACAGCAAATTGGCATTTCTAGACCTCTGTCTGAGTCGTAGATCATCGGACGGCTCGGTGCAACGATCAGTGCATTGAAGGCCCACTGGAAAGAGCCAAAACACTCATTTTTGCAGCAGTGTACTGCTCAAAAAGAAAAGGAATTTGGTGCGCTACCTAGCAGATAGAGCAGGGAAAATTTGTAGTGAGGATGCAATACAAGAAGAGCCCCGATTCTTACGCATTATCATCACACACACTGGCTATTTGGAACGAGTGGTTAGCAAGATCACTCAGTGGAGTGAAAATATTTTGAATAAGATGGAGGCCAAAGGGATCTACATCGCTTTGTCGTTTAAAGGAGATTCATGAAGAAAGGTAATACAAAACAGACTATCCCATGCTGTTATTAATACCTTCTATGCAGTAAAGCTTAATGCTCTGTTCACATCAAAGCGAATTGTGTGCTTACAACTGAAGCAAAACATGCAGGAAACTGTCATCTCATTTCGTCTGTAGTCATTTACGTGTTCCGGTGGAACAACGTACACAGGTCTCACGTCAGGCGTTTTTCCGAACCAACTGGTGGACATGCCTCAGTATTGCCGGGAGCGGGTGTCCAGGGTTGCGGCTGATTACCCTTCGCTTGCACCCCGCAAAATGCTCTCATATACGACCAAGCGTCTCGAACAGTCTCTGCTGAGAAATCCCTTCTCATTGTCTTTTCGTGGCTGCGGTGTTTTCCCACCAGAAGTCCAATCTTTGCTGAAGCTTTTGACAAGGTTGTTTTGCATACTGTGGGTAGAAGATAAACGAGGACTGTTGTATTGCGCAAACCCTGTGGGATAACCGGACGAGCAGTGCAGCTGATGAGTACCAGAGAGTTGCTTTCACGCACCAATGCAGTTGCTTGCTCTCCAGTGGCTGAGGCGTTCTACTCACGTCACCAAGATAAAAAAGGTAAAACCGAGTTTTAGAAATAAGAAGACATATGGACAACAGCTGCGTTTGGGTGGCGTTATCCAGGAAAAATGGCTGGTGGCTGGAGCAGGGCTGATATCGATCAGAATGTGACATGATAATGTAGGGTGAAAACTTTATTCAGGGACATGTTCATGTAGTATGCATGAAGAACTAGACAGATGGTTTCTCAAATGGGTACCTAAGACTTTAGGACACGACATACTTCGCGGCAGCCCACACTGATGAAAAGGATTTTCTTTGGGAACCCTAACCGGAGCCTTCGACTCAAAAGTCAGACCCACAAGGCAGCGAGGCATAAATCCAACGCGGGAGCGTGAACGAAGCACCCGTATGGGAGCTTCAAGAGACCTGTCACGCAAGGCCTTCGGATTTCGGTTCAGGGCGTTATTCGCTGGTGCATTGATTGTCGGTCTGCTTTCGGGATCAGCCTCTAGCCGCATGCACCCAATGAGACAAGCGGAACGTGGACGGGACAGCACCTTATTAGCTGGAGGCTGCCTAGCTTGGGTGAGCTTGGGTGGGTGCGAAGACTTCTTCCACCGTCGAGAGGAAGCCCCAGGTACCCCACTCCTACATCCACCTAACGGGGAATTTCAACCGGTAAACTGCCCCTCAGTGTTTACATGCTAGAGTGATCTTTCCAGGAGCGTGTGTGGATAAAAGAGGGAAGCCAGGAGGTGTCCAAGCAGCTGGTTTCATGAGACAGCTTCGTCTGGCCTCTATCCGTTGACCTTTCAGGCATGATTGGATCTACGGCTGTGAGAAGCCATCCTGTGTAGCTCGCAGGGTCATGGAGGCACGCAAGTCATCACATCACTTCAAGGTGCATTTAGCTTTCCAGGTTGAAACATGTTGACCACAGTCTGACCGTGTTTGAAGTGTGGTTGAACGTCTGAACCAGTGATTACCCGGTGTCTAATCACTTTCTAGATCTAGGTCAATTTATCTCGAATCTGTAATTTTATCTAGGGTTTGTTCAAACAGCTTTTATTCGCTCCGTCACTTTTCCTTTATTCTAGTTAATGAATGGTGGAAAGATAAAGGTCAAAACGAAAGATTGATGGTTCCGCAGACCGAAAAGGAGCCGGAAGAGGAGCGAGGAACACCTGAGGGTTTTCGGTGCCAAAACCCCGAAACACACTGGTAGGAAGGTAGCGGAAGACGTGGAAACATGTTTTCACATTCAAATTTGTTAAGTATGTAGACCCTTCCCCCCCCCAAAAAAAAACAAACATTTTGTGACCAGCAATAAAAGTATAGGTGTGCTTTGTTTATATGATGAATTCCTTGTGTAAATGAGCCTTGGGCTGAAATGAGGGGAAGCACTGGGAAGCTGTATTGACCTCGTTGGTATTCATCAACAGTGCAAATCCATCGACCCAACTGGGGATCTAACCCGGAACCTCGCAGGTAGAACGCGAATATACTATCCCCACGCCACCGGGCAGCTAATCAG